GCTAGGACCTCACAGTGTTGTGTGACCGAAGTGCTCGAGTGATCGCGGCTTCAATCACCAGTGACTCTTCTCCCATGTTTACAGAGCCTCTCTAAACCTTAATTATTGCCGTTAAAGTAATTATTAAACAAATCTTATTTTACCAACTAACGTAAGCATATCTGTCTTTTCCTTGAACCGAGTGTCAGTCTAGCAGAGCGTCCTGTCCAGGAAAACAGTGGCTGCTTATGGAAAGAGCATGTAAATGAAACCAGTATAGCATGGTTTTAGCTTTGGTATGTTCCCAGCTTCTGGTAAAATAATGTGGTTTAGGGGCTTTCTGGATGGGGGTGCGTTTTGGTAATGTGGTTTAACGGCTATGAAAGTGTAGAATGTTTTAGGAAAAAATAGCTTCATAACCTTAATTTTGCAAGGTCTCTCTGTGTCAAAGTAGTGACTTTGCCTGTGTTTTCAGGAGTCGTATATGTAAGTGGGAAAGCGCTCTTGTGCATAAGAGTTTATGTGAATTGGCCTAAGAAAAGGTATTGCCTGTCCTTGTCAGCTGTGCCTTTCAGGGAACCTATAAGTTGGGTAAAAATATGGGTAAAAATAGGGGAAGCTAGCCTTTTTTTTTTTTTTTTTTAAAGTCCACGTCTACCTGTGACAGCTTAGTAGGCTAGTTTTGCTTGCCCATAAAGGGGGTAAATTAGCTTTCTTCTTACCCTGGGTTATCACAGGGTGGGTTCCTGAGCTTAATCCACTCCACTATTCTCAGGTGTTCTTAAACTACACACGGGTCTGCGGTTTGGGAATATCTCTTAATGCTTTTGAGAGTAAGTCTTAACTACTAAATAGCTTGAACTCTGCCATTTCCTTTTGTTTGTGTAGGGAAAAAAAAGTTCTAGGCAAGAAAATAACCACTGAAGAAGTTGTGGCACTTATTTTCTTGGGTTGGCAGGAGTCCTTGGTCAAAGCAGTTTATCTGTGTCTCAGTTTCCTAAAAACAATACTATATTTCTCCAGCTCGTGGGAGCATTGTCAGAAGCATACATGACCAGAAAGAAAAATCAGCCCTTGGTAACCAGGAAGAAAAAAAAACAGCCTTCTGTCATCCTATGGGCTTGGCAGCAGTGTCTTTCAGTCAGGAGTAGGCAAAGATCCCTTTCTGAAAAGTGTCTTCTTATAGAGAATATTTTAAGGATTTCTAGGCTGAGAGGTATTTCCCTAGCTCTGTGCTCCTTCTGGATTCAGGTATTATTTGAATCAGTTGTCTGGGAGTTGGATCAGCTCTCAGCACCTTTATTTTGTTTTATTACATGAACAGAGCTGGTTATTTAGCGAAGGCTCTGAGAAGGCATACATATCCTGTTCCACCATCAGCATTGTGCTAGACCTGTAACAGGCAGGGCTTGAACCTGCTTGCTCCCAAGTTCAGCCTCGCAAGCTAGCTAAAAGCCTTTCTAACTTTTTTCTTTTTTTTATTTGTATGGCCTTTGTCTTACATAGGTTTGTAACCTAGTCCTAGAACTGGGTTTTGCGCTGTTTCCACATTGATGATCTGTCCATGAAGATTTTATTAGAAATGTATTTGAGTCCGTAGACTGTAGGGTTTTGAGGCCAGCGTCACGTAACTTAGGACATGCCTCAGTCTTTAACAAATTGTAAATGATAAAGCATTTCCGAAGTATCTGCTTTACAACTGTATATACAAAATGGTTATCATCATGTAGAAATGATACCAAGATGCGTGGCTTGCTAACTAAAGCAGTTTTGTGTGAGACTTCGAATGTTATTAAAATGACATGGCAAAATATTTCTTTGCGAGTTGGTGCTGCTGGAAGGCTTTATTTTATAGTTCATTCAGAAGGGACATCCTTATGAAATGAGGCAAACTGGACAGACTTGGTGATTCTGTGGCTGTATTTAAAGCTGTTCTGATCTTTTCAAATCTGTATGTGTATATTTTGTACTGACATATATGTATATATTTTTTTCTCCTCTTCCTTTTTTTCCTCCCACCTCCTTACTTCAGAGTTTACTTTCTGAAGAATGGATTTCACAGAGGCCTATTCTGATAGATGCTCCGCTGTGGGCCTTGCAGCTAGAGAAGGAAATGTGAAAATGCTCAGGAAACTGATTAAACGGGGGTACAGTATTGATGTTCCAGATAACAGGGGATGGATGCCAATCCATGAAGCAGCAGTTCACAATTCAAGTGAATGTCTGAGGTTACTCATTTGTGCAGGTAAGGAAAATTTGATATGAAATAGTACATTTTTCTGCTGAATTCCTCTGTGATATATAATAATGTAAACTAAATGCATTTTTCAAATCATGTTCTTACATGTTTAGTAGATTCAAATGTGGTTTCATAGAACCTGGCTAGATATGGTTAAAAATATGGCACTGTCTTACTCTGTGCAGAGGTGGACTTGGTATTATGTTTTGTTACCTAGCTAAAAACATGTGCAATCGGTAGTAACTGTAGGCAACACCCAAATCTCAGTTCATGATATTGAGGAGTAAACTATGTTATGTAGTATTTTAAAAGCTGATTGAAATTGCCAACTCAAGCATTTAAAAGTAGGAAATGCCTACTTTAAAATATATTTTTTGCAATTGTAGACCTCTTTGTTCGCATTAGAGCAGAACATGCCAGATATTCTGCTGGGGCTAAGGGAAAGGAAGAAGGGCTGACCTCAGGCTCTCTTTTGGACGTTTTGCTATTTCAGATGCCCAGATAATACGGGCTTAGGGTTTATGTCACATTTATAAGAACATTCATTCAATGCAATGATCACTCTTGCTCCTGCACAGCCTGGCTGACTTTTCGTCATGCCAACCCTCCCTGTGTGTTTTAGTACGGTCTCCTTGATTAGGTCCTAGATGAGAACCTAGAGTACCAGATTCTAGTTAAGCTTCTGCAAAGTGCTGAACACCTTATGAGAATAATGCTGATGGATAATCTGGTAAAGCTCTAGAAGTGTAGAGCCACTAAATAAAAGAAATTCCTTTAGGCAACATGATAATAACTGTGGTGGTAATATGATAATATTCAAAATGATAACATGATAATACTCATGATAACATGATAATAACAAAAAATAGTAGGAATCTTTTCTTCTCCATGTTCTTCCGTAAACCTTTAGACCTGTCAAAAGCAACACATCTTTCTTCTGTTAAGGATCTCCTTCATGTCTTCCTATCCTAGATCCTTGAAAGGCCTCATTCATGCATTAGCTGCAGCTCACATTTTTTGTTGTTTTACCGAAGCAAGAAGATCCCTAAGCTTATTCTTCTGTTTTATATGTAAACTTTTGTTCTCCTGCAACACAACTGCCTTTTTTTTTTCTCAATACTGCTCACATCAAAGGTGAGTTAGGTTGCACAGTGTTGATGAGGTTAGGCTCCCTCATACTGCCTAAACAAAGGAAGATGCTTGAAGAGCTTCCTAGGATGTTTATGGTTTCTTCCATTAGGGATCAAGGTCAGGTAATGTCTACTCAAAACTCAACCAAGTGCCACATAATATATTAAATGTGCTGTGAAGCTAATATCTTACATTTGCCTACGCAGGTTAGAGGCGCTCACTCCATGAGAGGTCAGGCAGCTTCAGCAGCTTATTGAGATACAACCTATTTCTGATAATTAAGAGTGGTCTCATTGGGGTGAATCTCCCAATTCTATTCAGCTTTCACTGAAGCTTAAAAATTTAATGCTTGCTTTCATAAAGGATATGAAGGACAGGATTCGTCTTACCTGACTTCAACCATCTAAAAAGAACTTGTCTGTACTCTCCATATTGTCAGTAAAGAATTAAGAGCCCCTCCAGTATCTTCGTTAATTTCGGATGGTCAGAATCATCATCAGATGGTGCTACTTTTTGTCCATTCACAGGAGAGAGATCCTAAAAGATTAATACTTAAGAGAAGATAGCTAAATAGATGTTGCGCTCGACCTCATAACCATGTCCTGAATGCAAGAGTGGCTGTCCATACTGATTTCACCTGTTACACTAGAAAGGCAAAGAAGACAGCATACTTGTAATCATAACAACAAATGTGCTTCTTCAGTTTATTGTGGGATGTTGTGTCCCACACTCTTCTGCCCTAAAGTCCTTAGCCATCTGTGTCTGAGATTAGTTAAGAAACTGAATGACAACTGATTCTACCTTACCTTCTCTGTCCAAAGCATACATCGGTGTAGGGCCAGTAATAACTGATACTGCTGTTTTCAGTAGTCTAAAAGCATGTTAATGGATACTCTGTAGGCCGTACATCTCAAATAACTCAGTTATTTTAAGAGAAGAACCGTATTTCGTAATTTATTGCTAAATATACCTCTTTCATTATTCTCATTTATAGCTCCATCTGATAACTATATAAAATCAGAGACCTTTGAAGGGATGTGTGCACTGCATCTTTCTGCAAGCCATGGGTGTTTGGAAAGTGTCAGCATTCTTTTGGAAGCTGGAGCTGATCCTAATGAAGTTACTACAGAAGCAACCACCCCACTGTTTCTAGGTGATGCATGCTTTCTTGAAATCTAAGAATGAGAATATTGAGATGTAGAAAAGAGTCTCAGTATACTCCAGAGTTTATTCACTCCTTATCATGTTTTGTATTTTTTGAAGCCTTTTTTATAAGTACTAAGGTTTAGAATCAGAGATGGAGTGGTTCTAAAATTGTTCACTATTTCAGGATAAGTCTGCTTCAGACTGTGTTTCAAAACAAAGTTGTAAAACAAAATAGTCTTTTTACATCTTTTGCTTCTTTCAAGCACAGTACAGCTCTAGATAGGATTACATCTGTATTGGGAAGTTTTAAGCTTTTTTTTTTTTTTTTTTTAATTCCTCCTTGCTGCTTATGTGAAAAGTCCTCTTATTCCTGGAAAGTTATAGTCTTGGTGGTGTACAGTATATTATAAAAGTATGTTGCCATGAAATTGCTAGTTTCAGTGCAATTTTAAGACAAAGTATTTGCAGTTGCAGACATTTGAAAATGTCTTTTTAATTTTTATTATTTTTTTCTAAGGCACTGTTTATAGCATGGTGTTGACTAGTCTGAGTAGCTTTGAGAGTCTTGTTATCTGTGGTGCTCTGAATGTGACCAAATACAGGTATTCCCAGCTATCCACCAAGGATACATTCCTGAAAAGTGTCATGGTTAGCAAGGTGAGGGACAGTGAAGTGATTTTTTCCCACAAGAATTAACATTGTAAGTGTGTGAAGGGAATTATGAAATACGCACAATTTAAATAAGCAGTGATCATCAGGAATGTTAGCTGGAGGAGGTGGTGACTTCTTCGGTCTGTCTTTTAGAAATAGATCACTGTTCTGGAAGATGGATTCTCAGCCACTTCATCTATGAGGCTGAATGCTCTACGCCACCTTTTCCTCCTTCATTCTCCATGTGTTTGACTGCGTTGATTAATCTGAGAAAGTTGTTGACAACAGTGAAAATCTTACTGTTCAGACAGAGACAGTAAGCACTCAGCACTCGGAATAAAAGATTTGTCAGGCTTTCGGATGAAGTGGCTGAGGTCTTTTGGAAGGATAATGCTCAAAAAGCTACCATCTTTTTCAGTTGATGATCCTAGATGACCCTGATTTTGCTCTTGCCTCTCAATTCTCCACACCATGTATAATGTTCCTTTTATATTTAAATGACATGTATTTCTTAAGACCCTGCATGCATCCTTCCTCTATTACAGTAATTTATATGTGAAATATTACTTCACCAGTCATTGAACTCAGTGTCTTCATCTGTGAGACTGATAATGTTTAGCGGAGCAGGTTGTTAAATGATTGCTGGTAGAACAGCAGCGCAGTGGGGAGAGCGGCAACAGCCGGGGGATAGGCCTGTAACTAGAGTGATGGCAAGCTGCTAACGCTGCAGGTGAGAAGGCATCCTAGGCACCTACAGAGGTACTGGATGTGTGTGTATATATATGTGTATATATGTATTTATATTTATATCTTAGAATGTTTATATCTTTTTTTTACTTGAAATGCTGTCATTCAAGAGATTAGAAAGGTAAAATGGTGCACCTTTGTAACGTGCAGCTTAAATTCTCAACAAAAAATGAGCTCTTCAGTGAAAAACAGCTATGCAGCTTCGTATTACATGAAAAACTAGAAACGTCAGTTACAGTTAATTTTCAGAAATGAACACTATGGAGAGCTATTTTTATTTCAAATCTTAATTTGCAAATTTCTAGTATGGAAAGAAGTGTAGTATTAGAAGAGCAAACTAACTAGTTGGACACTAATTAAAAAACTTGTCAGTGCAGTGTTCTCAACAGCGAGAAAACATGTGACTGAGGCCTTTGGAGTGGTTTGGTTGTACACTGTCATTTTTGGGTGGGAACAGAGCAATAAAAAATTATGTTGCGATGTGAGAAAGGAGACAGGGAGGAAGCGAAATGTTGGTTGTCAGTTGCAAGTGGTGGCTGAAGTCTGCAGGGGGAGTCCTGCACAGAGGAGCTGCCGTTCCCTTGCTGTTGGGTTGAGGAGGGGCAGGGTGAGACCTTTAATGAGCGTTTTTTGTGTATTGTTATTTTCTTTTTCTTTTTACTTTTGTGTTGTGACTTAGAGTAACGCTTTTTAATTGCATCGGCAGGATAGAAACACGACATCACTCTGGGAAGACTTTTCCACTCCAACAGGGTCTTGTGTTGTGGATTTCTTTGTTTTTAAAGGAGAAGTTGGTTTATTTCCAGAACTGAAAATTGCAAAAATTTCACTTTTTGAGAATAGTGATAGATTTAAGATTTTTCTTCCCATCTCTTTATGGCTGGCTAAAATTGTCATCAGTTTATGTTTTTTAGCTTGCATAAATAAAAAAGTTTATTTTGCTACAAAGATAGGCCTTCAGGGAAATCTCATTATGTTTTTAGTTTGTATGTATATATAACCTTTCATGTCTTTATAAAAGAAGCAAATTATTTACCTACTGAGTAGGCTGATTATTTCACTTCATATTGTTTTGTGAACAGGTGCTCATTGATTATATCAGTGCTTTAAAGTGAGCTTAAGTGTCTTCAGGGGCGATCTACAGTGTCAGATTCCAAAAGAAGTAACTAATTGATCTGTGACTTATTTTGCTTCCCTGTGATACGTTGAAGATTATTTTTCATTTGTAAACCTGTTGGGTATTTTAGTGGTCTCCTGCAGGAAAAGGTTGTCCGTATATGTTGCAAATAGTTATGGAATTGATAGACTTAAGATCTTCTGGTGTTACTACATAGAAACTAATATGTAGAGTTGCATTTCTGCATATACTTATTTATTATTGCTATGCTAATCACCTGTGATAAAGTGCAAAAATAAAGCAATAAAAGCTACAGCATATTTCTAAAAGCTTATACCTCCTAAAATTAGGTTTGTTTTTTGGGTAGCTTTTTTAAAAACTTTGTTCTTAAGTCTTATGGTCCCCTGTTAGGTTATTCTCAAGCCAGCTCTTCAGAACTGTCTGAAGGCAGAAGCTTTTGATCTCCAATTTATATATGCTCCATGTGTGTTACCACTAAAATATGAATTAGAAAAAATAATCCAGTATTCCGAGGCCTTTTTAATGTAAATAAACCCAAACCAGGAGGACTATTTACCTCACTAGTCTTCAATAAACACAATATTCTTTGGCAAGTTCTTGTTTTTATACTGAGCTAAGGAAAATATTAAGTTGTGCACTATGTTTAAATATTTGTGAGATCAGTTTCATGTTGATACGCTTAAAACAGCATGTGAATGATGTTAAAATATACTAGTTTGCTGTTGTGACCTGGAGTTATAAGCCAAGTAAGGCTTATGGAGAATGAGGGTAAATTATTTCCATCACTTGTCTAGTAAACAGACAGCCTTTCAGACCCACGCGTTCTTGCAATAGGATATGCTAACTTAGAAAAACATCTTCTCTAGTTCTGCATCAGCCGTGTTTTTAGCAATTAAGGTCACTTTATGTTAGCAGCTTTTCTTGATTGCTGTTTACGTACTTAAAATGCTTGAAACTTTGGATATAGTGGCTCTTCAGAGTATCAATTATCTGGTTAAACATGCTGATTGTCTTATTGGTATCCATACCCAGGCAAACATCACGGCTGCCACGCCAACTTTATTTACGAGTCTGTTCGCTTTTTTTAACAGCTTTTTTTAATGGCTTCTTTGCTTCAACCTGCTTGCGGCAGGCAGCGCTGGTGGGGAAAGAGCCGTTAAAGGAACGCTGGGCAATTGTAATTAGCGCAGCGTCTGAGCGCCTCCACAGATGAGAGTGGGCCGAGGAATGGTCCTGAGGCTGCGTAGCCAAGAGGTTTTTAACCAGGAAAAAGTTCCTGGCCGGGTTATTCCGGACTATGTAACAGAGCTGCGGCACAGCTCTGTGTTGGGCCTCGAGTACTGCAAGCCCGAGGCGCTGCTCGCCCCGCGAGCTCGTGCACTGGGGCTCTACTCGTCGTGCAGTCGGTCCCCAGTATTGGCACGTCATTTGTCATCGTTTCAGGCATTTGCCCTCAGGGATGGGGATGGTGCTGTCCATTCCTTTCATAGGGATGGGGATGGTTGAAAAGTTTATATGGAGGGAAAGTTTATCTTGTAATTAATCGTTTTGCAGTAACGGAAGCTTATGCAAAAGATTGAACTATCTGGGGGCAAGCAGTTCATGTGCTAGATGTCACTGTTTCGAGGGCGAGCCTGGGAAAGGCTTCCACGGCAGGTCTCGGAAAGCGTTGAGTGGATTGTCCTACAGCAACAGAAATGCCGAATCCTCGTGCGGGGAGGTTAAGACAGCATGTGTCTGGAGGAGCCGAGTGGGCGCGTGTTAGGACTCCCTGTTGCTTTGAGAGTCTTTCCTTGTATGCCACCAGGTGTCAGCATGACCTAAGAAACCGCAAATTACTGCCGTGGATCAAAGTGGTTCTCGTTAAAAGTATCCTTCCATAAAGTAAACTGAAAATTTGGCAATGATTGCGACAGTTGTTGTCTTCAGAATTTCTGTATTTGTCTAGAATTTCTGTATTTGTTTCTGTATTTTGTTCTGTATTTGTGATCTGTACCTTCCTCTTGGTATCTGCTCTGCTCAAAGGCTGTAGGGTATAAACGTCTTTGCATTTTTTGCATATTTTGAAGCCTGGATGTGCATTACGTTTGTGCAAAATCCTCGCCTTGCAAAAGACATGCATGTGGCGTTAGCAGAACCTGGAAGCTTCTGCTTGGAAGTAATGAACGTGTCTCTCGCTCAACGTTATAGCACTTTACACTACAGTGTTGTGACAGTATTTTCTGCTCTGTGTTTAAGGAAAGCTGGAGTTAGGACTAAGGCGGTATTTCGGAGATACTGACTTGAAACTCTGCTCTTTCTTCTGACTTAAATTTGGAAAATAATGCATGTGAATGTTTTGCAGACTTTGGAATACTCCACCGAGAATTGTCATGAACAATCCTTGCTTGTACTGTTTGTTCTGAGCCTTGGATATCTATCTCTGAGTTTTCCAATATAAATACAATGTTTTAGGGCGAAATTTTCATTCCCTACTGCTGTTTTGGGCTGCTTGAAGTCCATGTCTCTCTGAAATAGGTGCTAATTAGAAATGTTACTGATGGTAAGAGGAATTGCATGTTTTCAGTTATGTTTCTTTGTCAGAAGCCTATTAAGTCAACCAGATTCTTCCTACAAATAGTCACGGTGAAATATGTTGTATTATCGATCATAAAAATCAATAAAGAACAATGACCACATTATTTATCCCCAGGGTAATGTCTTCTGCCTAAAGAGAAATTGTCATTGAGAAGTTCATAAAGTAATCTCGCTATACGTGCATTGTTTCTGATAGTGTAGTGGTATGCCAGATAGCGATCCGCCTTGTAGATCAGCCCTGCAGTAAATGCCAAAAGGTGCATTTTTTCCCCAGAATAAAAATGCTGAGAATAAAATTGGAGACAATTGAATATGGTTTAGGAAAAGGGGTTGAAAACTAGCCCAGAAGCTGTGGCTATAACCTCCTGACTGAAGTTTCTGAGTTTGTCTGCGAGTGTCTGCATTGGCATTTTGAGTGTGTTCTGTGCTCGTTTGGTTTCCCTTGTTGCTTTGCCTGTATTGGCTCTAGAAAGCTTACAGGCTCTCAGGCCAGGAGAAGCGGTGCTGCTATTATGCCAGTAACACTGTTGAGTATCCTCTGACCCATGCTGGAAAAGACAGAAAGATTTTGTGTGTTTTAACATGAGGACAGTCAACAAATTCTTCAAAGTATTTTCTCTTTTAAATATTTGTATTTCCAAAGAGAATGCATTTAATTTTTTATTTACACAGGATACATTGAATTCCCTTGTTTAATACACATGGAAGGGCCCAGATGTAATGATTTTTAAATACATTTTGTCTTCCCTTTCAGGACCTCTTCTTTCTCCATAGTGAGGCTTGTTAGCTCCTGTTCCTCTATAGCATTTCATTTGTTGTAATTCGTGCTGAAAGGGGCAGCTGAACCTGAGCTACCCCTTGGGTCTTCAAGGCAGTGGGTATTCATAACAGCATTTTTCTGGGTCATTGGTTTGAGAGTTGACAACTTTTTTCATTCCTGCAGATCTTGCTGGTCATGCATGAGTCTGTCGTTTCCAGGCAGAGGTACTCTAGTGCTTTCTTATTAGGAACAGCCTATATAATCACCTATAAAAGCACTATTTGTGAAGTACTTACTAGCTTTTTCTATAGCGAAGCTCACTATGTGGAATATATTTAGGCCTTGTAGGTTTTGCTGTACTAACATAACCTGTCTGAGAGCCTGTACATGCAGTTTTACTTCTTCCTTCAGTGCAAAGCCTCCAGAATTTTGTCTCCCTGAATTGTGCGGCATATATAGAAGTTTGCAACAGCCCCTTTTATTTTATGATCATTCTGGGTACGCTGCCATGATTGTCACTCATTAGAACTTCAGCATTGCTTAGATGGGCTGCCTGTTTTTGGCGTTTACTTGTGATCCATGCCGATCTCTTACTTTCCCTGTATAAGAAGAGAAAGTAAAGTGAGAGCTGGAGAATGACTGGGGAAAGTGTCACGTTCATAGGAAAAAAAAGTAGGTATTTTTTGCATGTTGACATTCCACAAGTGCTGCCTGGACCCCGAGGAAGCTCTGGTACAGCAGCTGAATTAGCCCAGTGATGACCCTGGCTAATGCACTGCGCTTCGCATCAGAGCTTGTTGGCTTTGACTCAGTACTGCGCCAGCACAATCGCGAGGCGTGGAGGTCAATACTTGGTCACGTTTGTCTGCTGATGCCTGCTCAGGAATACTCTGTGAAGCTCAGAGGACGCCTCCCCGGACGGCTCTAGGGGATGAGGGATATGGTGGTTTCATGCGATGAATCCTGAGACCGTTAAAGATCAAATACTTTCAGTCTTTTTGGTCTCTCTGTGAAAGCCTTCCATGTTTAAAAGAAGTCTTTTAAGATTCTTTGGAGGACTGTGGCTTCACTGAGATATGTATCCCTTACCTCAGCTCTAAGGTTTGGGTTTTTTAATCCCTTCTAGTAAGTCCGTAACAACTTGAATACCTGTTGGAATGGGAATTCTGTCACAGTCCATAATTGTTGATCTTCCTTGTCTTACACAAGGCATATTCTTTAAGAAAGATTTAGGTTGAAGGAAATACTTTTTCTGTTAGTTGGTCCTTGTTTTTATGTGTTTTGTGCCAAAATGCTCCAGTCGGTGAGAATCTCAATAAGCAGAGTTGATGGAACACCTGTCAAGAGTTACAATTTTCTTAAAGAGAAGCCTTGATTTTGAAAGCCAACTTGAAAAAGGAGAAATTCACTTTAGGTAATTTCTGCACTGTTTTGCATACACTTGTATTTTTCTTCTAATTCTTCCCTATTGATCCCACAGAGAAACCTAAGCCTTCCCTTTGCAACTGTTATGCACACTTCTTGGAATGGTTCCAGGACTTATTCCAAGCAAATGTTTCATAACTTCCCTCACAAACTATTTTTGTGATTTCCTTGCTTCTTCCTTGGGCTTCCAGTATTTACATTTTGAGTCCCCCGCCCCCCCAATATAAACACACATATATATTTTTTCCAAATAGAGGCTTATATAATTTCCAGAAATGTAGCGTACTCAGAAACATAACTACATTTCTACCAGCTTTCTATTATTTTATGGTCACCATTAATATGTTAATTTCCCTTGTTGTAACACATGCTAATATTTTGAAGTTAAATTAGATCTTTTGATATGAAATATAAATATTTAGCTTCCCTTTGTCTGTAATCAAGCTTTATTTTTTTTGCAGAATAATAAAAACCAAGAAGATGTGTTAAATAGAAATATATGAGCTGATTCTAAAGGTGCTTTTATCTTAAGTGTTATTTGTTCCCTTTAAGGTTGTACTTGTGTAAATGGAATTATATATACACACAAGTCAAATTCTGCTACCTAAGAATTGGAGGAAAAAAAAAAACAAGGCTGGGTAAAGAGCTTACGTTTTAGGAGTCTGCTGTTAGTGAAAACTCGAAGGGATTTCTAACGGACTTCTTGACAATTCAACTTTTTTTAACATGAGTCTGTTGCTACCACTTTATCAATTCCTATCTTTCTCTTCTGCCGTTCTAGGCTATTGTGATCTCATACCAGGCTGGGACCACAATTTAATCTCAGTATCTTGATGTGTATCATCTTTAGTGTTAGCTATCAAAGCACGTTTTTATGGAACTGGACGTGGAAAGGCAACTTACTCCCGTGAAGAATCTGCATGCTTTCAGCTTTTTATATTAACAGGCAATTAAGACAGATAACTACAGGAAACAAACTCGCTTATATGGTAAATTGAGATATGAGAAAGATAACTGTCATAGTGTTGGTTTGTGTTCAGTAGGTTTTAATACAAAGGTATGTCTTGTGAAGCTGTGTTTAGCAGGGTGAGTCTCTGAGGTCCAGGGTGGAGTTCTTACAAATCCTGTTGCTTTCCACTTTCAGACCTTCTGACTCGCTGCACAAATATTACTAAGCCTTATTCAGCAGTAAATATATCTTAAATGTGTAAAATACAGAGACATTTAACCTCTGTCTTTCAGTGGTCAGAATCTCTACGTTTGACACAATGAATCAGAAATAATACTAGTGAGAATACTAGTCTCCACTTCTTTCAGTGATCTTTTTGTGAAATTAACTTTTAGAACTTTCTTTCATATCTTAATTGATGTCTTAATTTATGTTGGTATGCAGGTGTAGCTACATTGTACGCATCCTCTTTACTATGAGAGTAAGCAGGGAATTACTTCTAGTGCTAATGGGATCAATTCTGTGGGACCAGTTCTTTCTTAGGAATAAGCACAGTTAGCATTCTTTTAAGTTTTTCTTAAATAGCATAGTATGGTAAGTCTAACAGTAATTCTGATTGCTTTGCACAGTGATTGCCCCTTTTTATTTGTGCATAAATTCTTTGGATAAGTACCTTAATTCTGAGCATAGGAAATTGGATACAATTAAGTTCACTTGACTTTGATTTTTGTTGCTCTCCTTCCTGAAGAGAGAGGAATATACTTTTCTCTCTTGTCTGCTCGCTCACTTTCATGTGTACCTTTCCATCTCGGAGCATAACATATTTTGCCCTGTCTCTAAGCAACGCTGGAAATAATTTGCTTTATATCAAACGTGATGGAAGGGATGTTGTGTGTGTTTGATATTTAGACCAGACTACAAATGTCATGGTAATCAGTGCTGCACAATCATTTAGAACAAATCAGATTTTGAAGGGGGAAATAAATGTAAAAGAGTTATGATTGTAACAGTGAGAACTTGGTGATGAGATCATGCAAGTTGTGTACTGACTCATTTAATTATATATCCTTAATTTTTTTTTTTTTTTTACTCTTCTGTTTGAAGCTGTTGAAAATGGACATTCAGGCATTGTAAAGCTTCTGCTCCAATATGGAGCAAATATTAATGGACATCATTCTTGGTCTGGATGGAATTCTTTGCACCAGGCTTCTTTTCAGGTAACCTGTAAGTGTATCATATCATTTCCATGTAACTGGTGTGTTCTGAATGCTAATTTGTTATTTACCTTTTTATGAGATTTTTCCTAACCTATACTAACAGACATAAGGCAATCCAAGTGCTAATGCACTTGGAATACACTAAAGAGTGTATATGAAGCTACAGAAGGTGTTGGGTAGCAATAGTTATTTAAATATTATAAATATTGGATGTACTTATGAGATTATTTATTATATTTGGGAAGTGAATCTGTTATAAGATTTTTTTGGAAAAGATTTCTGTTTAGTATCTCATCATGAGGAGATATATGACCTATTTCTAGAATATAAATGTTTGCTTAATGGTTCTAATAAACTAATTTAATTTCCATTTGTATTCATTGGGTGAATGAGTAAATGGGAAAAATTAAATTCAAGTTGTCTAGTTTTTCAGTTTATACTTAGAATATGTACCATATTGCATCTCTCTTATTTCTGTTTGGAATGTGTGGAAAAAATAGATTTGGTCAATCCCCTCGTTTGTTTGTTTGTTTAAGAGTAAAATGGTGTATTTCAGGGATACACTGAGATAATAAAAATACTCCTGGAGAAAGGAGCAAACAAGGAATGTGAGGATGACTTTGGAATTACACCTTTGTTTGTTGCTGCTCAGTATGGAAAGCTGGAGAGTTTAAGAATGCTTGTATCCTATGGTAATTGTCATTATTCATTTAACCTCACTGTTTTTAAACTTGCATCAGGTTGTCAGCAGATACAATTTCAGTTCTACTCCTATACTTGGTAATTTCATAATTCCATTTTAATTACTTAAATCTTGTTATTTCAGTAATTTGATCTACTTTTTTATCAAGTGTTATTAAGAGATAGGAAATCAAAGCTATGAAAAGATTAAGGACCAGATTTCCTGGTCTTACTAATAACTCTCAATGTCACTACCTAACTGCTCTGATTTTGTTGACGTAACTTCTGTATTAGGATATTGTTCAACTAAGTGAAGATACCTTTCTCTGGCCCTAAAGCAACAGCAATGGTTTCAGTCACATAATCCACGTTTTCTATGTCTAAGTGCATATATCCTTACAACCAAGATTAAATGCATAGCTGTTAAACCTAAGGGTGCCTTAACCAAACCATAAAAACCATACTAACTTGTCTGTCAATACCCATGAGAGAATATCTGAAAAAATGGTTGCAAACAAAATATCACTTAGCCCATTGCCTTTCCTCCAGTGTGTTTATCCATTGTTTTTTGGCTATGCTGATCTTTGAGGGAGCTAGAATGGTGCCCCCCAGTCTCTTCAGAGTGTTCTCTCCTTTTACGGCAGGAGTAGAAAATCACACGTAGAGCTAATTTGTATGACACTACATATAAGCAGTGAATGTGATTTGTAGTTCTGGTTCTTACATATTTTTTATTATTAGCATACAATGTACTACTAGTAGTTTGCAAGATTATGAACCTAACAGTTTATCAGTAAAGCAAGATCACTGGCGTATTGAATAATGGCAGTGTCCTTTAGATGGAGAAAGTATTTTTCCTGTGTAGTATGTTATCTCGGTTCAGTTTTATTAGTTCAGCATACATCACATATATAAGGATTTAATATTTTGCTGCACTGCATTTTTCAGTATTTTGTGATTAACATAAAAATAGCGTGAAAATATAAAGTAATTTGTCTTCATCAGACCTTTGTGCTAATCTAAGGAAAGTATACACACAAAACTCTACTGTATTTTGAAAATAGGTTAATTCTTTCCTAAGAACCATAAGCCTTACTTACAGAACTTAAGAAGGTAATTGGAACACTATGATAATATAGGCATATACAGTTCAAAAAGCAGCAAGCTAGTAAGTGGTTTTTTTAATTACATTGGAAAAACTATTAAATGGTGAAGTCACTCTGTGAAAAGCAGTTACTAATTAACGCTAATTTGTTGTGTACTTTGTGTCATGAAGGTGATCTGTCATACAAAGTGTTGGCTCTTTTGTCAGGTGCAAACATCAACTGTCAAGCCAAGGACAAAGCCACTCCCCTGTTGATTGCTGCACAGGAGGGCCATGCCAAATGCGCGGAGCTGTTGTTATCCAAAGGGGCCGACCCAAATCTCTACTGTAATGAGGAAGAATGGCAGTTACCTATTCATGCAGCAGCTGAAATGGGCCATAAGAAGTAGGTGATTGATTAAAGAATATATTCACATGAAAGATTCTGGTAAATTCAACCTGACCAGCCAGGAGGATGGTCTGCAGTGTGTGTGTCACTGAGGCCTCTCCGCAGCTGAGGAGGAGGTCAGGCTGCAGTAGATAGCGAGAGCGTTTTTTTTCCTTCCGCTTCCTCTGAAGGGAGAGATGGGTTGGCAAAGTTGTCAGTACTAGCAATGCCTTTAAATCAAGCGCTGCCTTCATTGCTTTTGCAACGCTATGCAGCTTGGAGTCTCTGAGGGGCGCCAGTAGCTTCTGCTGGCAAAGGAACCAGTGTTTGTCCACCGATCCCTGTTAGCTGGGAAGGAGGTGGGTCAAAGGCGTGAGTTATGAAAGGGGGTGATTTTTCTGCTTCAGTCTCTCGGGGAGTGCTGTTGAACTCCCCGAGAGTAAATGTTCATTTTTGCCTGCAACCCGCATGTTCGGTTTACTCCCAGACTTCGCAGAAGTCTGGATCGGAATGCGTACCGCAGGCACGCTGTCTTGCTGTAAAAGGGACTGTTGGATAAGCGGACGTAGCCATCTGCGGTTTAGTTAGAATACGTTTGTTGCTAGCCTACACCGAATAGTAGAACGCAAGTTTTTGGAGGCGTTTAAGGCTGCGTGCAGCAATATCACTTTTACAGCCGGTCACTGATGTAAACCAATGCCAAAGCACGCTATGTTTGTTGTGATCCGTCATGAGCTTACGAGAAACGACCAGAAAATTACAATGAAACTGTTTGATGAGACCTCACAAATAAACAGTGATCGTAAATATTTATCCGCAGTATCCTGGAGCTGCTCCTACCACTTACTGATCGGATCTGTGACAGAGGAAAAGGCAAAGTGAGCCCTGTGTATTCAGCGATTTATGGTGGTAATAAAGAGTGCTTGGAAATGTTACTTAAGCAGGGCTACAGTCCGGATGCTCAGAAGTGCCTCACCTTTGGCTGCAGATCACCCATGTGCATGGTCTTCCAAAAAGAGTGCGTATACCTCTTCTTTTTTTTGAAATTTTGAAATTACTTTTGAAGTTTTGAAATTACTCACAACTGCGTTGGCACCTCTTTGATTCCCTTTTGTGAACGTGCAGGGTGGCCCTGCCCTCCTTCCTCCACTCGTGAGATGACAGAGTTAAACCTGAAGTACTAGAGCGGCGTGCGGGGTTTGGGTGACAGGCGTGAGCTGAAGAACCTTGCTAAAACCTCCTTTGGGGAGCCTGGCTCTTTGAAGAGGAGTCTTGTAGAACATAATTGCAGTCTAGTTTTCTTGCTTTCAAAAGGCCTTATCAACCCATCTTCTGTCCTCTGGGAACTTGACTTGATGCTGTAATTGAATCAAACAGACTCCTAATTAGCTAGAATCTTTTCAGTGAGGACGAGTAGTTGGAAAACACTGATTTACTTTCTCTGTATGCCAGTCTTGTGCATGAAAACAAAGATATTTATGTTTTATACATACTTCTGTAATTCTGTAAAACTTCCTTCCCACACACGCACATTGGGCAGAAACTGAAACACTAGAAACTCCATCTGAGCAAAAGAAAACAGTACTTTCCTGTGAAGTTGGTTGAACACTGGAACAGATTGTCTGGAGAGGGTATGGAGTGTCCATCCTTTTAGAGATATTTGAAACACAAGTGGACACAGCCCTGAGCTGCCTGCTCTTAGTGACCCTGCTTGAGTGGGGGGCTGTTGAACTAGATGACCTCCAGAGGGTCCCTTCCACTTCAACTATTCTGTGCTTAGTAATACATCTCATTCTTGGAAGAAGACCATGCCTTGAAGGCAGAATTATCAGCTCAACACAGTAGTCATGAGGAGGACTTGAAAACTGAATGATAAATTCTTTTGGACCTGGCCCGTGTATTTTTATACCTGATGTGGGATGCATACCCCAGGTATTCAACAGAAAGTACACTAATGGCTGTTTTGTAATGCAACAGCTATAGTTGCAGAAGAAAAAATAATAAAGTATACCTTAATCCTTAAATACTCCCTAAATACACATATGGTAGGTCAATGAGCTGCCCTTCATGTGCTTACTGTTGACTTTTCCTTTGTACTGAAGTGTCTTCTTCTTTATTCTATGGGAAATTAATAGATTTTTGAGCTCCCCTTGTCCTCCTCCCAGACGAGTTTGATGTATAAAATATTATTAAGTGGACTGAATACTGACGCAGCTCAGATCAGGATGGAGGATCAAACATCGTTCACTTCTTGGTGATTTTGAGCACACTGTAAAGAGCTATAATGTCAGTTTGTTTATAGATTTTATTTGGGACTTGAGTGAAATTACCTGATATTGCTATGTACCTTAGAACAACAGAGACATTGAGAACCTTCATGTGGCGGAGAATATATTTGGAAATTTTTTGTCTTCAGTTAATCATTCTCTTTCATTTAATGTCCTCTCAGAATTGAATTTAGTTCACCCTTTACAGAGAATCCTCCTCAGGAGTATTATGCAAAGTAATGTTATGTGGCTTTTGTACTTCATGAAGGAAAAGAGCTCCATTAAGCCTTTCAAGGATACAAAAATATGTTTGAATATATGTGTTTGTATTAATTATTAATATGATTGTATTTATTATATAAATATACACTGTTTATTTTATATAATATAAATATTATTATGTATTTTAATTTATGCTATTAATTAATAGGATAGCACATTCCTACAATGATCTTAGAAAATTGTTTTAAAACCTTAGCAAAAATGTGCCATCAGTGTAAGAACAGTACTGGAATTGCAGCAAGCAACTTGCCAGTTTTGTAACTTTCTAACGAGAAAAAAGTGCAGTAATAATTTGCTTGAATGTATCCTGCTTTAACTAAGGACGTACTCCAGGGGAGGAAATGAGCAAGGATGGCTTGATGGTTTTTTTTTTCCTCATGTTTTTGTGTTGGTTTTTAATAGTGAAGCATGTCCCTGTGACTGTGCCTATTATAGCCTAATGTTTCTGTGGCTGCTGTGCAAATGATTTTGAATTGCTTGAGGCAGAAGATCATCCAGATCCCAAATTGTGTGTGTGAAATCACGCACCTGAAGAATAACCAGAACGTGCTTTACTGTGTATCCAAGCAGACTTTGTGTTTTCTGTTTAAAGTAAGCCTGCAGCAGTATTGTGGTAACATACAAATACAGATGTTTGCTAGTAAATGATGACTCTGGGTTGTTTCTGTTAAAGATGAGAGAACAGGCTTGCTTTAAAGAGCTGGAAGCTTGCGCAGCTCCAGCTCACTGCTGTCCCTCTCGGACACCAGACGAGCATCGAGCATCGCTTGGTAGTAGCACAGAGGCAGAGAGCTGAAAGGGCCGGACGGCTCCTCGGGTCGTCCGCGTGGAGCTGCTTGAAACAGCGCAGAGAAGGCAGTACCATTTCCCCAACTGCCTACGCTTGTCCTCTCCATGACGGGTGTACTACGTTTTGTTGTGCTACACTGCATCAGCAGCTCTCCTCCTAGAACTTGTTTAGATAAGGTTTATGATTAATGGTCTTCAGCTGTTTCTGTTACCAAAGATTTTTCGAGGTGGGGGGTGGGGTGGAGGAGAGCAAATGTGTTAAATATAAGCACTGGGGACTCCTGAAGGGGCTTTATGTTTTAACCTGATGGTTTATGGAGACAGTTTTAGTTACAATGGTTTAATAGGGTGGGAGTTTGGTAACAGAAATGTGCTGTCTTAGTGGCAGTTAGTAGAACTCAAATGGCAGATGTTTTCCACGATATGCTAACAAGACACGCTGTGTTTGTGTGCTGTTTCTAGGTTTTTTGATTTAATCCCTGTTCTCCTGAAATATGGGATCACCCTCCTTGGGATTAATTTAGGATATTGTCTGTACCATGGGAAGTTTACTTTGTTTCGACGCTTCTTGAAGTTGGGCTGTTGGTTGCCTTCTGAGGACCAGATACCGGAGTTTGTAAGTTATGCAATTAAAGCACACGAGCAGTACAAGGAATGGCTGCCTTATCTACTGTTGGCTGGTTTTAATCCATTGAATTTACTCTGCAAGTTGTGGTAAGAAGATAATACTATCCTGTTTTGTAAATAGTGTCTGCTAATTTGCAAACGTGTTGCTAAACTTGTTTAACAGGTGCTTTCAGAGGATAGTCCATGATAATTAGTTGCCATGATCTGGAGCAGTGAAGGTCATGGGAACTCTGAAGGGAAGTATTCATGGGTAAAGGCTAGATTCAGTCAAACTCATGTTTCCCCCCTTTTTAGGAAGAAAGCCAGAGTGAGAACTGCTTTCTCACTATCCTAGAAAAAGGCATCCTTATACCTTTTGACAGCAAGCATATCCTATGAGCCCTCAAATGTTGTTTAAACTGGAGTGTGCCATAAACTATTGTACAGTAATTGTAAGAAGAGAATGTCAAATGCCAGGAAAGAGGTCAGAAGAGATGGGAAACAATTGTAAGGTGAAGCTGGGCCAAGGTTAGGAGGGGGGGACTGGAATACAGTTAGAGATTGTGTAAAAACGAAATAATGTGGCAAAGATACCAGTCGGATTTTTGTATTTTTCTGCGTGTAAATAACCGCGTGGCAATTGTTTTGTACTTAGGCACTATAGAATTCAACTTGTAGGTAAACTTATGAAGCGTTTTCTTCTGGTTTTTGCTGTGCATGGAAAAGATGCTTAGACTTACTTCCATATTTAGGCGCTTCTAACAAAATACGAGTTGTATAACCTCCTTGCCATGTATTACTTAACAATATGAATGGAGTAGGAGTTTAAGATTTACTTAGTTTTAAATATTGATTTATGTTTCAGATGCAGTTCCGAGGGCATAACCGCTTTGTTATGCTACTTGTAGTTTCAATTGCATTCATTTTTGGTTTAGTGAAATTCTGTTATGGTTTTCTAAGCGGTAGGTAGGGGAACGTGCGTAAAGGCTGGTGTAGGTGCGATTCTGTAGGTCCTGTGTATACGTAGAAGACTGAGAGTGATTAGAAGAGTGAGCATACTACAAAATTGCAATTCAGTCAGTGAGCTAATCTCGTTATACATTTATATGGTAGATAATGCTTTTTAGAAAGAATGCTTGCTTTGTTTAAATGCCTGTTTTTTAAAATAGTGTTTATTGTAGCATAATCTACAAAATTGAAGTTAAACTTATAAAAAATCAATATGAACTATTTCCTCCTGGAAAACAACAAGAAAATAAGAGCAAATTGCATTTGTGCATATTGTTGACTGTGAAAGAAAACGTAGAAAGGGCATAAAATAACCTTTGACATGAATCTCTTGAAAAAGCATATGTACTGAAAACGCTCATTCTGCTATTTTTCCTGTGTTTAGAGCATCTATTTTTCCATTCAGATGAAAATTTAGGAGTGTTTGCATCTAGCCAGGAAATTATTCTGTAAAATTGCATGGCTTTTCATCATACGTAATATGAAAACAGTTACTTGTACCTGCTGTGCTACCCACTTATCCAGTTAAGCTATTGTTAAAATTTCTTCATACACTGTAAAGGTTTGAAATGTAAATCATACTGATTTCTGAATATGCACAAATGCAATCTCGGGTGGAAGGAGCATTTGAAACACTTGTGAGTTCTATGTTGTTTAAAAAAAAATGTAGCTAAATATATTTGGTATGACTTTCTTTCTCCAAATGTGATGGAAAAGCTTATAATGCCTTGGTAACAGGAGACTTCATTAAAATTAGATAGAAATGGCACAAGAAATGAATGAAGAGGAGAAGTCTGCCTATTACTGAGGCTTATAAATTTCAAAGCAGGTACTTTTTCTTCCAGTCTAACTTCTAAAAAGTAATAGAGGAAGATATAATGTCATTAGTCATTAGTCATAGATTATGCTGTCAAAACTACTTTGGATTTCTCTTGGTGGTTTCCTGTTTCTGTGCTTAGGATGTAGGTAGTTCAGGATTTGTTAGAGAATAATAAAGCATTCTTTGTATTTTTCCTATTATATTTTTTATGCTATTGTGTAAAATGATATAATTTATGGAATTGTTATGTAGGATTTACTCTGTGCACGAGGATGCCCTTAATTTCGTTCTGGAGTTCACGAACTGGAAGAGACTTCCTCCAGCTGTAGAACGAAACCTTTCGGACTACAAGGAGAGCTCCACTTGGATTCCAAACAGTCATTTTGGTAAGCAATACAATTAGAAAAAAGAAAAGAAATCTCTGTGTATAGCGTTTTCCAGGATGTAAGTGGGAAACGGCTCTTTGTGCTAATGCATGATGGCAAGAGAAGGTCAACTAGTCAATAGAAATCACATGTTCAGATACTGGGGAGCAGAAATAGTACTTAGAGACAAAAACATATTTGAATGAATTTCACTCATGGTATTATTCAACACAATAGTGAGCAGGTTCTAAGCAGGTCTTTTTAATATGGAGTAATGTCGCCACTTCAAATTAATGTGAGCGGCATGTTAAATGCGATGCAAAGTAACTGAGACCCTCTTTTAAGAGCACCCGTAAGGTTGAAGGTAACAGGATCATGCAGTTATAAACAAGGCTGTGCGAATATGCATATGAACACATGCTCTAAGTTCTATTCTAAGAGCTTTGATGGGGTGAGGAACTGGAAGACTGTGGACTGGCTACAGTCAGCCAAAATATATTCAATAATTGGTTGTCCATGAACACCTGTGTTTGCCATGTTCCCCCTCTAGAAAAGCAGCTTTAACAGATAGACTTTGCAACATGACCTGAGTATTATGTTATTGAGAAATGGTACTCAAATGTCTTTGTTACTGACTCAATTTTAAATAAATTCTTCTTTGAAAGGGGCTGTAATATATTTAAAATGTGTACATTGTGTTAATGTTAATAAATAAGACTTTCTTTGGAACATTATATTTAATACTAATTAGCATATCTTCTTTGGAGTAAAAAAAGGTTTTACTTGGTGACATTTCTTTTCCTTTGATTGATACACTTGTGTTGTAGTGGTGGCTAAGGTCCTTGTACTCTTCTGCCTTTTTAAGTAAAAAATCTAACTCAGTATATGATGTAGGACAGTTACCTGTTATGAATATGTGCGTTCTAAATTTAGTTTAGGACAAAGAAATGTGGTAGATGTGTCCTTACTTTTGTATTTTACAGATGTGATAAGAAACATTTGAAGAGTAAGGGTTCCACTTGAACACAAGGAAACAGTTCTTTACAGTGAAAGTGATTGAACCCTGGAACAGGTTGCCCAGAGAGGTTGTGGAGTCTCCATCCGTTTGGAGATATCCCAAACCTGACTCGACCTACGTCCAGCTGGGCAACTAGCACTAGCTGACCCTGCTTGAGCATGGGGAGGTTGGACCAGAGGATCTCCAGAGGTCACTTCCAACCCCAACTATTCTGCAGCTATATATACATTCATTTTGCTTTGTGTGCAAGTCCTTCTCTGTGCTAGCTAAAAGCCATGAGAGAAATCTGCAGGTAATATTTTAAAAAAACGTATATTCCATGAGAAGTAAGTATGTGGTGGACGGTTGCTACTCCCCACATTTTTGGGAACCTTCCTTGGTAGTCCTACTAAAATTAGAGCAGACAAGCAGCTATATCCTTGCACAATGAGCTTGTACGCAGTAATGAAACACAAAGAGAGAAGGCAGAGAGGAGAGGGGGGAAGAAAACAGTAAAAATTTTCCCATTCTTTCACCCAACAGTAATTGGGGTTAGCCAGCCAGCTGTTGTGCTGAGGTACAGGTATTCCCACTTGAAAAGTACTAAGTACTTGGACTGAGATAAGCTGCCCGTGTGACAGAGCACAGGAAATTACGAATGAAGGGCTCATGTGGAAAAGTTCAAGAACTGGTGCTCATACCTCCAGGCAAAGTGTGTCCCTGGCACACCAAATTTATGGTGGGAAACCAGTGACCCCTGGCGAGTGAGGGTACTCCAGCAAGCTAGAGAGCTGGGCATAGCTGGCTTTGCAGGCAATCGGCTCAGGTCCCACACTGCTCCCTGGTCGTGGAGCATCGCTGGCACTGATGTTCCTGTCTTGGCCCCTCCAGAGCTACCCAGTGTATCTGCTTCAGCGGGTGCCTGGAGCTAGCAAGCATCCCAGCTAATGGAGTGTGGTCCAGGTGCTCACCCCTGGTCACACAGAAGCAGCAAGGTCTTCTGTGATTGCTCACCTTGTGGTCAGTGCATGGAAGGTAACCCTTGGAAGAGTGGTGATGTTCTCTTTGTGTTTCTGGAATGTGATGCCTGTTTTAATCATAAGTAAGTGTTGCCTGCATAAGTAAAGCTTGTGGCTTCCAGGCACTAGAGTACTTGCACAAAGAGCAGAGTTCAGTTAGGGTTTAGAAGTACGCCAGTATCCCAGGTTAAAACGGAATGCTACTTCCCATTCTTAGAAAGGGGGAAATCAAACTATAGCAGAAGGTAATGGTAAAATATTTCAGAAATGTGGTTTCTGAGTTTGCAGGAACTATTTAGTAATGCCACTGATAAATGCCCTAATTGACAGAGTTTCCTTTTCTTCTTAAAATCTGCATGTCTTTGCTTTTTCTCCTTGCAGGCAATAAGGACCCTGTAAATCTTTGTTGTACAATGCAGAGAAGTTGCTGTAGGATCTGCGCTGCTTCTGTTTTGGTTCTTCATCAAGCTGCCTGAAAGTGGACTCTGATCTTCTTAATAGGAAACACCACTTTGTGTCACTGTGTGTTCTGTGCTCTGTTTCGCAGTGGTCTTTCCTTATTCTCCCATTTGAAACAGCAGCAAGGTTGATTCGGTGGAGTATGAGGGTAAAAGGTGACACAATAAGCTAATACGTGTTTTCAAAAGGCTTTTTCTCTGAACCTCTGTAACTGTTATGGAAACAGTTTGACCCTAGATTTCCAAGGAGTAGAGTCTCAGGCACGTGCAACAGCTAAATTAATTATTTACTTGAATGATGGTACACCAAAGTAACAGCTCGAGCTGGGTGCCTATGGGAAGGGACCCAGAACAAAAGAATTATTAAGTTGTTATACTTCATACAGTCTTTTTTTCCTGCTTGCCAGTGAAAGTGTCTTTCAATCTTCTTTACTGAGTCAGTGGTGTCTTTCCCTCTGACTGGTTCATGTCTACATCCTGGGACCGTTGCTAGATGGTTGCTATGTTCCTGCTCCGCAGTACTGTATCTTATCCAAAGGTCAGCCGTTACCTCTGTTCGTTCTGGTCACTCTGTTCAGCATCCTGGAGGGCTGGTTCTAGCTTGCAGTCGCGACATCAGCAATGTTCTTCAGGTTACAGTTCAGTCCTGTGGCCTGCAGGCTTCACCTAATTTAGGCACTTATGCTAAGCAAGAATCAGACTTATGCTAAGCTGAAGCTAAGTCGGCTACAATTCCTTTCTCTGACAGAAACGTTGCAGAAAAAATTTCGCTTTAAGAAGATACTGAACCGAACTGAGTTCTTTTTTTCTCCCCTTGATTTTGGGCTTTTTGAGGGGAAAAAAGGGCTGTATTCTTACAGCAAGAGAAAAAGAGTGAATCTCATCCCTTCCTATTCAGGGTAACTTCTGAGCTGTATGGTACTCTCCTTTCCAACAACCTGTGATAACAACCTGTAAAAGATTTTATTGCAAATGTTGACTTCTTTTCTGCTGTTGTATTGAAAAGGTCTGTGTTTAGTGACTTGATCTCTATGCAGTCTTTAGTGCCTGCTATTATCATATTAAACACAAAGCCTGCACCAGAAGAGTTTTCCAAGAAGGCGAGTTCTGCTTCATTCTATGAATGAAATAAGTGAGAATCAAAGCCCTGAAGCAAACACTGCTTTTCAAAACCCTTACACGTTTCTGACTGCAAATAGAAATAAATTGAATTGTTTTGTAGGAGTAGTGAATATAGTGCATAAAGTTAAAAGCTGGGCATTGTGATGGTAGCGTGGAGCTAAGATGTATAGCTGGGAAAGCTACTGCCTTTTCAGTTGAAAGCCACCTCAGAAGGATAAAAGTGCAGTAGGCTTTATTGCTTTTTGGAGATCATCATAAGGAGCCGCATTTTTATTGGTGAGAATGTGCTAAAATGCCGCGGTTTTGATTTATAATTGAAAGAAGTAGTATTACCTGATGCTTCTTGCTGACAACTCGGTATTGTGTTGGTGAGTTGTATGACTTGGTGTTTGCCGCTCGGAGCTTTAGTTCAGTCTGTGTTCTTTTTTATTAGGTCTCGCTCACAACACCTAAAGCAACCGGGATCTCTTTTGTAGGTCAGTTTTAAGCAAGCCTCCCTTTTTTAACTAGCCTGCCTTTGTTCTTCCTGCAGTCAAATTTAAATCAACTTCCTCAAAGTCCCGAAGCTTGACTGTGTCTCTGGCCTGCCGCTTCATGGTACTTTTAGAGAGAACGTGATGTAATGTCTTAGGTACGTTCCTGTTGAGACCGGAGCAAGGCTTGGCCTAGTATGTCTGTTCCGGTTTAAACCCACCAGATGTTAAAGGTGTAAGGTTGTTCCAGGTGACTCCAGCTGCTCTGCACTGGCGGAGGGGTGTAGAAAAGGTTTCTTGGTAAATGAGAACGGAGGCTGGGAGTGCTGGTCTCCAACAAGAGACTTATTAGAAGGTAGTGAGAAATGTGACTTTTGTGTAAAGAAGCCGAGAGCAGCAGGTGGGAGTGGAAGGACGCAAGTCCTTTTGGAGGATTCAGTCTAGTGGAGTTTTGCTAGCTTACTGTCACGCGGCTGATGTTAGTGTTGTCCCTCTGGTCATATCTGAGCCCAAAGTTTGAGGCTTGTATCAGGAATAAGCTACTCCACAATATGAAAGTTTGGTTTTCAATGAATGTACTTTTACAGACATGTTTATTGTATCTTAGCAGAGTGGCTATCTTTGATCAAATTATTTAACAAAATGTTAGATATGATATGAACCTTTGGTATTATATAATAGTTTAGAATGCGGTATATTAAGTGCAAGTGCATTGAAGGTGCTCTCTCTTAGTCCAGGTACAGTCCCTCTTGTTCCATAGATTGTAGTGAGCATGAAGAATATGTCTATTATAAAGAGAAATTTTATGGAGGAACTTAGAAGTTGTGTTGTGCCAGTACAACTACTCGACTGTTGGGTATTGACTTGAAATAAGCTTGGAATATATATGTTCCTATGATTGATATGAATATTCACAAGAGGGGAAGAGAAAAGGTTCCAGAGGACTAATTTCTCATTTCACATTAAAGCATACAAACTAACGTGATTTATAAATGTGCTGTATAAAAACGTAGTTAGGAGTCTTGGCAGGTCTTAATTCATTATGAGAAGTCAACTTAAAATAACAATAACTTGAACAATAATAGATGAATCGTGCTGTCATTTAATACTTATTCTAAAAGTGTTATGTTACCTTTTTTACTGTTGCTTGATTTACTAGACTTGCTTATTTTTCATTTCTTGTAACCTGACATGGGCTCCTTTCTTCCCAAGCAACTTGTTCTTTTAGGCTGGTTGGATGAAACTTTCTGATTAAGGATAAAGTGTGTCTTTGACAATTTGTTTTGAGAAGTTTAAGATAACTTCTTTTTTTATAGTGATGGTACAGAAATTCCAAAATGCTGATTCTATAGCAGACAAGTGTCCTTTGCAACCAGTAATTCTGCTTAATTATCTGATACAAATGTAGGGTTTTCAAATGGGATCTGTCTAACTCAGGGACCTACTATAGGCAATGTGATCCCATGGTTCTGTTTACTGTTTGATGTGTTTTTTTCAATTTTTCAGTGTTCATTCCTTCCTTGTCTCATCTCTGTCGTCTTGAGATCCGGTCCATTTTAAAGAGCGAACATCTACGATCTGACCAGTTTATCCGTGAATTGCCATTACCAGCTTGTCTCCAGGACTACCTTCTCTATTTAGATATACTGAGAGTGAACGCTATTCCAGCAGTGGTGGAGTCTCTGGATGACAGCGATGAGGGAATTCCTCCTGCCAGTTGTTCCAGTTCTGAAGATGCAGAGAAGAGGGAAGCATGTGATGCTGGTGCCAGACGATGATACTGCCTGTGACTGAACTCTGTTGCTGTAGATTTCATATTGGCAATTAGCCATCAACCAGAGAAGAGCTACCGTAAATGGCAATTTGTAGTAACAGGCCTTTTCATGCTATAGTTTTCTACAAGCTCTGGATTTTTGTTGCAAGATCTAGGATGTGCTTGTTTAGAAAGTCTGTTTTAGCTTTCTAAGTCTGCAAACGTTTTCTGTTTCTGAATGGAAATTTATAACTCTTATGGAGTAAAATTAGCTTGTTCAATGAACGGAGCTTATATAACGGTTGAAATGTATTTAGTCAGACACGGAATAAAGTGTTAGTATTAACAAAGTATTGCATATACCAAAGGAATTATCTGCAAGTGTAGGAACACCATATAGTGTTACGGTTATGAATTTATATGTAAAGGAGCGATCTAGGTGAAGCAGAGATAGGAACTGAATATGAAAAAAGGAAGTGTTTGCAGAAGTAACTTTTTTTTTTTTCTTGGTCATCTGTATTGAGAACTTGAAGAGGTACAATCTTTTGTCATCACTTTCAGTCATCTTTTGATGCCTCTTCCTATGCTGCTTGCATTGAAACTATTTTAGGATATTCTTTTGAATATAAAAATGCATGTAGGACTTCATTGAATGCACCATTTATTGTTCATCCTTCTAACACGAACTCTTGCCACTTAAAAAGAGATGTGGATCAGGCTTATACACATTTTCCATAGATTAGAATATGTGATGTTCATATCATTGTCTGAATTAAAAAATACTCCAATGATACTTTGTAATGATTGTACAGAAGAACTTAAGTGCTACAAAAATAAAATACTTTTTGAAAGACTAAACTGTCTAAGTGCTGAATCAACCTGCTCCGTTTTCCTGGAATGCATCTTCTGAAAATATGTTTTTCTTTAACTTCGTAGCAATTGCAATTTGTGTTCTGACTGAAGATTATTTAAAAGCTAAACCAATTTTTGATACCTCTGAAAAAGCAATGTCTGTCTTGCCTGTTTCACTGCACTATTGCTTTTAGTCAGTATTTTTACAGTTACCAAAGAGGGAATCATTGTATGTGAACATCATTAATAAATTAGCTTGATGTGAAGTCAAGAAATTTGTTTGTCTCTCTAACTCAGTGACTAATATACCAACATCATAATTCTTTGAAACCATTTGCAACTTTGATTTGGAGTAATAATTTCTTAAGAATACTTCTTACACCTCCAATACATGTTTACAGTTCTGACGGAAGCCTATGTGAATTGCATCTGTGAACTGGAGGAATGGAATTAAGCTCTGTAACTTGCATTAAATCCTAGTTTTAAACACCCATTTTATCTTGAATAATACTGTTATTTAATGTTCACGTGACTTGTAGTATATTGCAAATACCCGCTGGGAAACGTGCTTCCGCAGAAATGCTGTTATCCTCACACTCAAAAATCTGTTTTCCTAGTGTCCATTGTGGTAGCTGTAGTTTGTGCCTGTCTTTGTATCCTTAGCTGCAAGGATCCACTGCCCCAGAGCAGGATTAGAAGCCAAACCTGCTTTGAAATAATGCAGTGTCAAATTATTTGATAATGTTAGGAATTTAGACTGGAGGAGATGTCTGAGACTAAGCAAATATTGAGAGATCCGTAATGCCTATCAGAAGATTTTCTAAGTTAGGTTTTATTCTGTTCAAAGGTTGTCGTAGAAGAATGACTACCTAAGGATTTTCCCATGCTTACGACTTTATTACTCTTTGTCTCTGAGGTAGAGAAATACAAAAAATAGTGCATTTTGTAGCTGGGGAGGTGGTTCAAAGTTTAGATTTTCTTCAGAAGCAGAAAATGAAAGATGCTCTTACCTGTATAAGATTGCTTGCGTAAAATCTAATCTGTGGATTTTGTAAGTTTAAATATCTGTTTATTTATTATGCCATACCAAACTGCAGATTTTCACTATTAGTATATAATACGCATTTTTGCAGTCACTGGTATCTGGGAATTTTCTTTGTGTTAGCAACCACTTCTCTTGCTCAATAAGCAATGTAAGAACTCTCCAACAGGAAATTTTTCTCATCAGACTTAACATATTTTCATTTCAATGTTGTCTTCAGTTGATGTTCTGTACATTTCTGCCTGGAAAAGCGGCAGTTCTGAGGGCTAACTTTAGAAGCTGCATGTTCTGTTAAAGCAAGCTGCCTGTGTTTTGTCCCTAGCGGATGTCAAAGCAAGAGACATATCAGTTAAGGACTGACTTACATATTCTCTTTGTGGTACTGCTTTTCAGCGGAAGAGATGCCTGACTTCTAGATGCATAAAGTCACGTGAAATGCCACTGGCAATGTTATGTAATTGATTGATTGGTTTTCCTGCCGTGTTGTTTGACCCTATTTTACCTATCCGTATATGACATCAGAAAAGCAAAGGAAATTTCTTTTGGACGTTCCTTCCTAGTTACCCAAATCTGGTTTGCGTTTTTTCCTGTCCACGTAAAGGAGGCACACCAGCCGTGTGCCCCAGAGCATTCCCCATGCTGCCCTGGCGTTCTGATCTGTCTTTCCAGGAGTGCTGTATTTTGTTTATTGAGGATCTGCCCAATCCCTTTTTCTTTAGAGCAGGATGGTAGAATACCAAGCAAGAAAAATAATGTATCATCAAAGGAGAATTAGTGGGAGGGGAATATAAAGATGTTTGTTTCTTGGTCTTGCAGGTTGTCTGATGCTCTAAAACATGATATTTTCTTAATGGTACTGTTACAAATAGTATGAATATGTTAAGGGCAACATAAAGAAGGAGCCCATGCAGAAAGGGGATTTGAAGACCAGATTGGACTGCCATGATGGTCCACCTGGACTCTGCATATGCAGTCTGTAAAATGTGATTCAGAATCTGAATAAAATTTCTATCTGTTGGAGAGAGATCTAATCTTGTAAAGGCACCAACGAATTGGTCTAAAGCTTGCCCTTATAAGCTTTTCCACTCTTTAATTACCATTACTACATTACTGGTAAGATTTTTTTTTGAAGGTTGAATTTGTTTAGTTCAGATTCCAGCTATATGATCTTGTTAGATCTTTGTGAGATTTAAGAAGTCCCTTGCTATCAGCTACTGCTTCCATATGTAATTATGCATACACAGTGAGTCATCCGTGAAAGACTCCATCATGAAAGATGGAATCATCTTTCAGGCTTCTCAACGAGCTGAGTAACTTGAACTTAATTTGGAAGACACTATTGAAAAAACTGCCCTGAAACCTTTTTTTACACATTTAGCAATGTGAGGGCAGATACAAGGTGTTCTCGTTGTCATTGGTATATATTTCTCTGTGTATTCTTTCTAGTTAGCTTGTGTGTACACACGTGGAGAGACATAGCACAGACCACATGCTCACTTGCAGTGACCCTCCCTTTCCTGGTATTTTAACATACCTTAAAGTAGGGGAAATCTTGCATTCTTTTACTATTCCTCCTGGAGCTGTGTCTCTGTCCCAGATGTTGAAGTGATCTTCTCAGGCCCACAACTGGAATACTGGAAGGCAATTAATTTTAACACAGGCGGTATTAAGTTGTGTCACTCCCTTGCTTTCCAGCAATTTCCCCTTATACTTGCTAGAAAATTTCACTGTTGTTTTGAAGGACGTTTTCGCCTTGCAGTCTAGGAATTTGCCTATTAACTTTCCGGGAAACTTCCCATTTCGCTTCATAGGAATATTCACTGTAGCTTTCTAGGGAATTTGTTCTCTAGGAATTTTCTCCTTTGCTTTCCAGTAATTCCCCCCTCCCACCTTGCTTTCTTGGGAACTTGTTCTTACTTTCTAGGAATTCTCCCATGCTTCTAAGAAATCTTCCTATGCTTTCTAGGAAATTTCCCCATGCTTTCTTGGAAATCTTCCATTACTTTTCATGAATTTCCCTTTTTGTTTTCTAAGTAACTTTTAGTTTGGCTTTCAAGGGAATTTTCCCCTTGCTTTCCAGTAAATTTTCCTATTGCTTTCTAGGAAGTTCTACTTATTGACTTATAGGAACCCCTTCCTTTCCCTCCCCCGTTGCTTTTTCAAGAAATTTTCTGTTTGCTTTCCAGGAAATTTTCGCTATTGCTTTCTAGGAATCTTCCTTTGCTCTCAAGGAAATTTCACTCTCCTCTTCTGAGAAATTTTTCCAATTTTGCCTGTGAGGGGGAAGGACAGGAGGAGGAGGAGTAGACGAGTTTTCCAAGTTAACAGCTGGCTGCGCCGCTGGTGTTGGCAACAGGGCTTTGGTTTCTATGACCATGGGACCCTGTTTGAAGATCAACAGCTGATGGGGAGAGATGGGATCCACCTTACCAAGCGGGGCACGCGTGTCTTTGCCAACAGATTGGCCAGCCTGGTAAGGAGGGCTTTAAACTAGGCAAGATGGGGGAAGGGGAGTGGTATAGTGGCAGGAGAGTCAGTAAAACACCGCTCAAGTCAGGATGCCTCCAGCGGGTGCATACAACCAGGGGAGACAGCATGCAACATGGCTATGGAGGATCCTCTTGCACCTCTTCTGGGAAGCCTGCGTGCTTGACTGGCTCTCTGAAATGCCTGTATACCAATGCACGCAGCATGGGGAATAAACAGGAAGAGTTAGAGATCTGTGTGCGGTCGCAGGGCCATGATCTCATTGCAGTGACAGAGACATGGTGGGATAGTTCACATGACTGGGATGCGGTCATGGATGGCTATGTGCTTTTTAGGAAAGACAGGCCAGGAAGGCGAGGTGGTGGAGTTGCCCTTTATGTGAGGGAGCAACTAGAAACTTCTGTAGATTCTCAGTTTGCGTTCACTTCCCACCTCCAGTGCCCTGGGCCTCTTTCCTTCTGGCCAAGCAGCCGTTGGTAGGAAGAACTCATTTCTTTTCCTTCCATGCTACTCCCTACATCTCACAACTCTTTGACTCTCTAAGAGTACTGTGGGGAAAGTCTAATGTAAACATTGTGCAGCCTTAGGCAGAATTTATGTTCTGACCTAGAAATAGTCTGAGTATGCAACAGCACTGTGTCCTTAGCTGAGCTTCCCTGGCAGTTGTCTATCTCCATTCTAAGATTGTTTGGTACAAGATCCAGAGCCTGCTTTTCTGAATGTATCTGAGCAGATGTAACACCTTTTCACGGCCCTAGTCTAGTTCAGGTTGTGGCTGGAGGTGAAACAATCTCAGTCCACCATTCGCAAAATTGCTAGTGCCCAAAGCCCATATCCAGGAAATGGAGAACCAGGCTGCCTCCTGCTTACCCACAGCCTTTTCTTCCTCATACAGCATTTTAACTCTAAAAGAGACATTGTGGAGAACATACTTCCACCTGAAAGCTTTAGCCTGGGACTCAAAAGAGCTGGATGCCAACGTTGGTTCTGCAACTTTCAATGAGCTAGGTCTCCATGTTCTGGTAAAGGGTCTTGACTCCTCAGTGCTCGTCAGGGTATGCTGCTGAGACCACCACTGAGGCGCTCAGAGGGCTGAGTCCAGGTGTCTCACTTCCTGAACAAAAGCTCTAGACAGGAGGTTACTTTTAAGAGGGAATGGTGAATCCTGAATTGAATCGAAAGCCCTGACAGGGGCAAGATTTCCCCTATCTCCTATTGGGTAGCTCTGGATAAAGTTAGGTTAAACATGTTTCCTATGGGTAACTCTCTATGCAATGTGCTTTAGCTTTAGAGCCTGATCTGAGGTGCTTGATGCTATGCACTATAGGGAGCCTGGGCACCCAGAACAAATTCTGTATTCTACTCTGAGTGACCTGAAAATTAAGCATTGTAATGCCTAAATCTTTTAATAGATTCAATAGATCATAGATCCGTTTAATCCCTCCATGCTTTACATTCTCTTTTGAAAGTGCTGTAA